AACTGACACCTCATCCTGGTCTTCCTAAACCTCATCATAAAATCCTTTGTGGACTCATGTTCATATTGCTTTACATTGACCAGGTCATTAATGGTCATCTTAGGTTCCACCTTATAGAACTGCTCATGAAAGGCCATCTCCATTTGCCTTTAGTTAGCAATGGAGTTATGGGGTAAAAGAGAATACCATTGGGAAGCCAATCCCACCAGCGAATTCCCAAACAATCTCAGTTTGTAGTTAGTGTTATCCTCGAACGCTACACAATGAATTGAAATTTTGAAAATGTGATATTTGGAAGACACATTACAATCTTCTCCGCTGAATGTTGGGAATGTGGGCATTTTGAAATTGAGCGGGAAATGATTATGTTCGTCTACATACGCTGGGTAAAGCTTTTGATATGTGATTCTAAACATAGGGCGGGTTTGAGGCTGAGCATTTTGTATCACCATTCTTTTTAGCTCTGCTAACTCATTTCTAAGTTGCTAATTGGCCAAGTTGTTCCTTGGGGAAAGAGAATTTCCCCACTTCAAGCCATGATCTATGCCCGAGAAGGCATTTCTTACTACATCTGGTTGTCTCCAACTAGCTTATCATCCTCTCTTGTTAACCAATGGGGGCGGTTGATAAGGAGGAAGTTTCCTTCATCATCGGGCAAGCTTCTGGCACTGGGGCCTTCATCTGGATCGGGCATGCCCAGTCTTATCACATCTAGCCCTCCTGGCTTCTTGATTTCTGATGGTGTCTGTAAGAGGTCTAGCAAGCTTAATTCCTGTAGCTCGTCCCCGACTTCTTTTTAGTGGCTAGTTTTTGTTTGTTCCTTCTTCTGCCCTTTATCCTCATTTTTCATGAGCAAGAGAAACTGGGGGATAGTTAATTTTTTTTCTCCGGCTCTAAAATGGGACTTCATTCGTTAACAGCTTCCTCCTTTGATGGGGAGTATTCTAGCTCTAATTTTCTCTATAGTATCTCCGTCAAAGAACATTGCCTGCTAACCTCTCCTCCGGTTTCTAAGGAGATCTTTTCCATACTTATTAGCACTTGCATTATGATGGCTTGCAAATCTTCATTAGTGACATTTCCACTCAATTTCTCATAAGAGGTCGGGCTTTCTATGATCCTAGAGCGACGTGGTGAAGGAAAGTCATCTAGATGATTTGTCATGTATGTGTCTGGCGATCAAAGAGGTCGCCCAAATTCTACCTTCCACCTAAATGTTCGATCCTTCCTTCGTCTTGGCATACAATAACACAAAATATGGTGTCCCACCGGGCGTGCCAAAACTATGTTTAGGCTAGATCTGTCCTTTGCACAACTCCCTTGGACCTTGCATGTCAGGCAAGGTTTGTTGCTTGGTGTACTGCAATAGAAGTTTGTTATTAGTTTGAATAGTGCCTTTGTGAGGCGGCCTTTGTTAGGCCTTGAGGCTCACAATCAAAGCTAATACGAGTATGAGCGTGTCACTGTTATCTTTGCATAACAGATTGTTCTTTTAGTTATGTAGATTGATTAATTACTTGCGTCACAAGTCACTTTGACTTCTTAGCTCGATCGGATTGTTCATAGATAGGTAAAGTCTATATAAAGTTCTTTTCTTGCCTTGTAAACAAGAACTTTCATCTCATAAATTTGTATGTCCAACTAAAGAGAGTTCAAGGCCCTTCACGTTATTTCTTTGGTTACCGATTTAAATTAACAGCAATGAAACCAGATTAATTAGCTTGACAAGATTAATCAAAGATGAGACTTGAACAAAAGTAGTTGAAAATGACATGGGATCTAAAGAAAGATGCATAAATAATAGATCTACTTTATGTAAGTACAAATAAATGAGATTCGGGCAAGATTACAACCTTGTCGGGCAAGGTTCGTCTTCTTGCAACCACTTCTCCTTGTATTTTACCGAGGCTGAAATCTTGGAAAATGAAATATAAACTAGGTTCACTAAAGGGATTCAATACTACAACACAGAGAAAGGTAGCTGAGCTTCTAAAACGGACAAAAGATAACTTTCTATGGTGGACCTAGAACTGGGAAGGCAAAGGCTGAACAAACTAATGCTTTCTGGGCTTAAGCTGTTTAAGTGCAGAGTTAAGTGTAGTTGTTCGATTGGTTGAAAGAGAGTTCTGCTTACTTTCCTTGCTGCCTTTATAGACTTCTTAGATCGAGTGCCCGAGTTTTCCCTTCTAGTAATGGCTTTCGAAGCAAGCTGAGTCATCGCCTACTTTTGTTATTTAACTATCCATGTCACGGAAAAGTACTTTTTGCTGGAGGTGAGCTGCCCTCTATCACTTGACATTTTTATCATAGGGTTGCTGCCTATTAACAGCTGGAAATGGTATTTAAATCTATCTTGGGCAGTGCTTCAACCAACCCAAAGTCAAGAACCCTTTGCAAACTTGAGCTTTTAATATATTCAGTCCATTAATAATTATTTCAGCCCAAACATCTTGGACCATTGTTTGTTAATTAATCGACCTTTCCCACGATTTTTGGACTGAAATGGTTTGTATGCACTATTAGATTTTGTAACCACCATGGTATCCAACAGTATTCCCATAGCTTGACTGACCATTGTTACCAACATTAGTGTATACAGCAAGAATACAGCAAGGGAGGGACGACGTGTGAGAGAATCAGTTTTAGGGAATGGGAGACTGGTAGAATACATTTGTGATTTTATTCACAAGTTGGTTAGTTCTTTTTATTTGTATTTTTTTTTATATGTAATATTAAAAACAGAAGGGTTTTATTTCAAAAAATTGTGTTTTTTGTTCGATACGTTGAGCATATCCATGAGTTTCTTTAAAATTTTGCTAAACTAGCTAGTGAACGGTGTCAACAAAGTATTTTAACTTAGTATCTCCAAGAACAGTATATCGTGCACTCTCTCTCAGATGAAGTAATGGGAAAATCTAAAGCTACTCTCAGACCAACTCCAAGATGGTGGGATGATGATGACTACATTGTCCAGGACTCTAATGGCATGCTTTTGATTTTTGTTCTATTTTTTTTTTTTTTTTTTTTTTTTTTTTTTTTTTTTTTGACAAAGCCTCATCATGGGCTAGTAATAATGTGATTCAAATTCGCATTTTGCGAGAATCGAACCTAAGACCTTTCACTTACAAGTGAAGATGACTACCACTAGTAGTTAAATCCTGAATTTCTCCCTAATGAATACAAATGCATCTCTTTTATCCTAATGAATACAAATGCATCCATTATCCATAAAAGTACCGTTGTTTAGTGTCTTTATAGTGTATTTGTATTACTCTTGTAGCGCTGTAGACTTTGAAAGTTCCTTGTCCAAACGTAAGCTAATGAACAGTAAACAGCTAGTAGAGACTCTGCACACATCAAGTCCTATTTGTAGTTACAGGTGGAAGGCATGACGGATGCATTATGTATGCATTTCATCTTTGTTTTACAGTTTGGAGGGAGATCATCTGGGATTTTCTTGGTCTCCTCCATGTGACTTAAGGAAAAAACAATGCTGTTATTTTCTTTTACTGTGCAAGGTTTAATGTCATGCCTAATTTTGTATGTGGATAATAAATTGTCTTTTAATGTTAACGTTTACATTTGGTGTAATATGAAAAAGATAAAAAGAACCCTACACGAAGAAGTTACAATTGTATGTTCAACACACAAATTCAAAACCTAAAAGGACTCAACGTTCAAATATGAAAGAAAACAAACAATTAACAAAGTTTCAAAAGTGTTCTTAAAATTTTAAACTCAGTTTTGGATGGTAAACGAAGGTTTTGGCAGAACTTGCCCCTCTGCCACAAGCAAAGCTGGCTAGTCTTGTTCCTTTCGTCAAGCTCTTCCAAATGACATATTGTAAGCCCTGTTTTGACATCGAACCACCCGCTAGTCTAGCTGCCAATTTTGCGTCTTCTGAGCCGTTCTCCGATTAGCTTTGCACTCTTTTCTAGATCTGCCATATCACCATACTACTGATTTTTTAATGGAAGTAGATTGTATTGGAAACTTTGGTAACCAACACACTAGATCAATGACCAATTTGATGCGTTTCCAGAGCATAAAAGATTATTTGTTATAAAAACTACATGGTTAACCGCCAATTTATCGGATGAAAATTAAGTCCCTAAATTATTTTTTCAGAAAAATTAGTTCTTGAATTATAAAAATCTACCAATTACATACAAAATATTATATTCGAAGCTACTATATTCAATTTTTCGTCAATTTAAGTCACGTTAATTGGAGGGTAAATTAGTAATTTTAATAAAGAAATAGTGCATGGAGTTAACTTTGAAGGGTAAATTAGACATTAGATTCGCAACCTATATGAAATGTTAAGGGCTTATAGTTATAAGCGAGAAAAATACAGTATTGCACTTTAAAGTATGTCAAGTGACTTAAATTGACGAAAAATTAGATTAAAAAGCTTTGAATATATTAGTATAGATGAAATTAGCAATTTTTAATGAATTTAGGACTTATTTTGTTGAAAAATAAATTCCGGGACTTAATTTTCATTGAAGTGATAGCTCATGAACTAAATTGTCACTGCAGCCAAAAACTAAATACATGAGAAGATACTTCAATCTTCATCGTTCAACACAGAATAAACGGTAAGGAATTATATATATATATATATATATATATATATTATCTGCTAGACTGGTACTACAAATTTGGTGCCTTAATTAAATTTGGCCTTGGACATGTGTACTTTTTGCACTCCAAAATAGGGCCTGAAGGCGTTAGATGAAAATAAAGTGGGAGCATTTTTGCTCACCACACTATCAATTTCATTATTTGTCATGTGTTCTTTTATTTAACTATAATTAACTTTCATATTAAATGTTACTTTTTTAATTTAAAAAAAAATTACTTAGGTTAAGTGAAATGACAGTAACAAATGATTAATTGTACAGTGAAGATACACAGAGTTTAGAATCCTGAGCAAAAATGCTCTCAAATAAAATGAGACTTTCCGAATTTACTACGGAAATTACTCATAGATGCATTCATATTCATATTCATTAGGGAGAAAATGAGGATTTAATACTAAAACAAAAATCAAAAGCATACTGTTACGATTCTGGCCAATGCAGTCATCATCATCATCGAACCAACTTGGTTTTGGTTGGAGTGTAGCTTTAGATTTGCCCATTACTTCATCTGAAAGAGAGAGAGCGCGATATATAAGAGGTGGGGTGGTGAGAGGCAGAGCGTAATTGTGATTCATATAGCTATAAGAGATAGCCGACACTGGGTTTCGGAAATTTAAATAACTCTTTTCAAATATAAAACATCTCCAGGAGACTCTTTAAAAGCAGATTAGCTAATTATTTTAGCAAAACCCCAACAAAACCAAACCTTGATCAAAAACTGATTTTCTCACACAGATCGTCGTATACCCCATACCCTTTGTTAGAGTGGTTTCTATAACACAATAACATATCTAACCAAAGATTATAATACTGAATTGAAAATTAGCCAAATGGAGAATCAAAAGCATACCATCATCGACCATGGTTGCTTCGTCGAACATGGCTTCGTCTGAGAGAGAATAGAGGAGACAGACAGGAGAGCGATAGAAATCGAGTTAGGGTTCGGCATTAGGGTGTTAGAGCGTAAATTAGCAACCATAAAAAAATAAAAAAATAAAAAAATATATAAAGGAAAAATTCTAGATAATCACAAATCATACCATTAGGGTTCTGCATCTGGACGTTCGCCTCGATCTCTTTCAACGGACGCCACTCCATGGATCTTGCTCCGGCGTCGTAACTGGAGGCTGTGGGAGAGGGAGAGGGAGAGGGAGAGAGAACTTTAGCTCGCGCGACCGCACGTTATTGGGGTTCGGCAATTTCTGACCAAAGTATAAAATATCGATGATATCGGAAATATCGGTAGTCTAAAAATACGGAAATTTCGATGGAAATATTGGGATATTATCGATATCGATAAAAATTAAATAAAAACCTCGGAAATTGTAAGAAAAACTTGGAAATTTTTATTGAAACTTTGCAGGATGTTTATTTAGTCAATTATCTATTAATTTATCACAAAAAATTGGAAGGAAATGCATTGCATGATAGATATAACTGATTTAAGTTGATTATATAGCGAGCTGGCAAACATTGTGAGTGTAGAAAATATGTAGTAATTAATGAAAGAAGTTTAAACACACCATATCATTTATATATAATGAATTAGTACAATGTTTTACACTTTATACATTGCATGGTAAGATAGATGAGTGACTTAGCAAGGTCTAAAATATTGATGATATCGGAAATATCGGTAGTCCAAAAACACGGAAATTTCTTGGATTGAATGCATTTTATAGCACAAGGTTTCGGGGTGATTTGTAAAACGACTCACAAGTTTCAATTTTTGCATATTATACCACCTGACTTTTAAATTGCACCAATTTAACTTATTCGTCAATTTTAACACCTAATTAGAGATTTGGTCCATAATTTTCAGCACACTGCTCGTTAATTTCAATGTTTACTACTTTACGCTTAAATTGGTGCAATTTAACTTATCATGATTTAAACCTACGGATGAACTTGTCCAATCGGAAGATCACTGCTCAAATATTTCAGGTTGTTGAATCAATGTTCCCATGAACCAAATTGAGAAGAAAGGACGAAAGCTGCCGTTTCAGGTTCATCATTTATGAAACAAAACTTTCTCAAATTGGTCAACTTTCCTCTACACCGTATTTGGATGAAGATATTTAAGATTACTAAAGAATTCAAAAGTGACGGAATAGAAATGATTGAATTTTGTTTTAAGAATTTGTGAATTTTCTTATTTAGTTAATCTCAAAGAACTATGAAATTTGAATACGCAATTTCTGACTTTTAGTTTTATTTATTTATTATTTTTTTGGGTTGAAGCACAAGGTTTGCCGGTGATTTGTAAAATGGCCCACAAGGTTTCAATTTTTGCGTATTACATCACCTGTTTTTTAAATTGTACCAATCTAACTTCTTCATCAATTTTAATGTCAAACTTATACGCACACACAAAAAGTCAAGGTTCGAAAAGACGTTAGGAGCTAGTCGGATGGCGGGCTGGGGCCTAGCGCCTAGGCGGCTAGGCTGGGTCTAGGCGGGCGCCTAGGCGGATTTAATTAAATCTAATATATTTTGTGTAAATAAGTATCTATTTATATTTAAAACATATATAATTTCATCATAAACTACAAAATACAAAATAGAATGACAATATATTATGAGCTATTGGAACATGATGAAAACATGGGAAACAAGCATATAATGTGTGTTCATTTAATTATTTAACAAATCTCTTACAATTTATTAAAAAAATAACATGCAAAATGAAAGTTATATATTTTCTGTCTAAGTGAGTTGCAAGTGCCTAGGCGGGTAGGTGGGCGCCATAGTGGGTCTAGGCGCTATTTCTTAATTTTCAAATGCCTAGGCATTAATCTGGGCAGTGACCAGCTATCTAGCGCATAGGCGGGGTCTAGACAGCGCTAGGTGGGGATTTTTAGAACAATGCAAAAAGTATGTGTGAAATTTTTTGTTTTGTTTTTAAAAGTGGAGGAGAGAGGAAGAGAGAGAATGTGAGAGTGTGGAGAGAGGAAGAGAGATTTATTTATTTAAAATTTTTTAAATTAGAGGTGTTAAAATTACCTGTAGGTGAGATTTAAACAAAAACATCAAATTTGGTTTTGTGGAATTACAGCCCTTAACTTTTTGTTGTGATTGAAGATTAAATAGTCTTTTCACTCTCTTTTAATTGACAAATAGAGTTCTATTAATATGTAGTTTTGATAAGTAGATGTTAAGTGCTGACGCAATATCGATTTGGCCCACATTTAAGCACATTTTGACCAACAATTTCAATGTTTAGTTCTTTACGCTTAAATTGGTGCAATTCAAAGACCACTTGGTGTAAGAATGATGTGAGAAATAAGTTAACACACAAAATTAAACCCTCTTTTTATCAATTGTAGCAAAGTATGTAAGTAGGGATCGTTCTTAAACCGGGGATTAGGAGGGATTGCTAAAACACTCTAAACTGACTCAAATCTGTGAAACGAAGTTTAAAAATACGAAACTAGACTCAAAGAATGCAAAACTAAACTCTAAAACACTAAAACGAACCAAAAGAATCAAAACAGCAACCAAACACTCAAAACTGCCTAAAAACCACTTTCTGGGCAGTTTTGAACACAAAGCATCAAATTGGACGAATTTGGGTTTTACTTGTACCAAAACACTTAAAAACATAAACCAACACACTTTCCAATTAATCTAGGAATTCAAAATAATTGGGGATTTGATTTGGACGAAAATAAACTTAAATGACAAATTGTAAGAGAAACATATTGTAATACAAAGTTATGAAGAATCAATGGATGATGGAATGGCTAAGGGGTTCTTCTCCACACATGAAATATATGCAACGTAAATCAATTTTCAGTTATCAATTCAATAAGTTATGAACCTCAACACTCCAAGTTAATTAGGTCCGCTTAAATTAACCTTCAGATTTCCCTAGGATCATTGAATTGGATGAATATGCATTGCAAACAAATTATTCCTAACAAGTTCTTTATATGAACAGCATGATAAAGACACAAGTTAGAATCATTACGTTCTTTGGAAATCATAAGCATCGACAAGGCATTCGTAACTATGAAAAGCATGATACTCTTGCCAAGAATCTACTTAACACGATCGTGACTAGCGACCTTCACTACTTACGAATATAATTCATAACGATTAGGTGAAACAAATTTATATCCTAGCATCAAATTCAAGCATGCAAATTAAGCGTGCACTCTCAATCAACATACAAGAATAAGTTCTAAATCAAATGGTTAAGCAAATTGTATTCACGACTTATGTAACAATAACTGGAAGTAATCAACTCATTTCACATATATAATCATGGTTTTGAATGCACCCTTAGCCAAAAACGAAATTAGCCAATCATACTTAAAGCAAAACAAAGATTACATGAATTAGACATTAAAATCCAAAGAAAGAAAACACCTAGAATGCTCCAACTTGGCAGCAAGTGCATCCAAGATTCCTCCTTTCCCTTGCTTGCGGCAGATTGGGTTATGGACTGGTTTTGGGTAGTTTTATGCTGTAGAATGGATGGGGAATGGTATGGAAAGGTTTAGGGTGAGTGTGGAGGAGTGTTTGATGGTTGGAGGGTGGTAGAGAACTCGGCAAAGATGGTGGAATAAGGTGGAGTGGCTGTTATGTTTTCTGGGCACTAGAATGGTGTTTTTGGGGTGTTTTGCTGCCTAGGGTGAGTATAGACGAATTTTCTGCATGAATGATGAATATGGGAGGTTCAACCCTTTGCCAAGGGTTGTAAACATGTATATATAGGCCCCAAAAACCCTAGAGAATCAGATTAGGCAGTGGGGGAAATGCACAGCAAGGAGGGTGAATTTGTGGTGTGCAATGGTCCAAGGATGAAAATGAAGCAATGATGCAAAGTATGGAGGGTAAAATGGAGTGGTATTTCAGCTAAGGAGCATGAATGATTGTGTTCATTGCATGGAAATGAAAAGGGGAGGTGAAATGTTTCAGAAATTAGTTAAAGGTGCAGCAACATGTGTTGCACAAGGCATTGGATCCCAAATGTGGATGATGGAGCATCAATTGGTGCATGGAATGGTTGTGAAATCTGATGGTGAAGGGAACAAGAGGTATGCAGCAATTGAGTGTGATAATTGAGTGTATTGAGGCATGAAATCAGAAATATTTTAGGGGACAAGGATGATTAAGCATGCATGGGAATCCAAAGGGAATGCTATGTGGATTGCATGGCAATGATGTGTGTTCTTTTGTGGCTGAGTTCATGATCCTTTGTACACTAATTCTTCACACTCTTAGCCTCTTTAAGTCTTCAATTTCGTCCAAACCTTGGTTCCAAATATGTGACATGCATTCCAAGCTCCATTTTGCTCCAAAATGCTCCAAAATGCATCTTCTTGCCTACTTTGTCCTTAAAATCTGAAAACACATGAAAATGACTTTAAACATTAAAATAACTAAGGAAACACGACATAAATGCACAAGAACAAGCCAACTAAGTCGCATAAATATGCTCCTATCAAATTCCCCCACACTTAGCTTTTGCTATCCAATGCACATGACATGTTAAAGATTATCATCCCCACAGATTTGACTCATCTCTACACTTAAGCACATACTTAATCATAGTCACTACTTACTTGTTCACGTTAATCAATTAAAACAATGTTTTTGATGTAGTAACATGCCTTAGAGAAATCACTCAATTCCTTACAAGATATGCACTCAATTTTCACTCAGATTTTCTAACTACACACCCTATACTAGTTATATGTGAGAAGATTGATGTAGAAATGGAAACGAACGCTCACATATATGTATAACAAAGAACGCAATTTCTGGAGTTAATAAGCATGTTAAGATATGATCTCATGAATGGAATGCTACTACTTAGATGCGAGAACCAGTGATACCATATGCTCATACCAAATTCAAACTCCACAAATTGAAACACATAACACTCAAGATTGAAGTCAAGGGTTGTAATGGGGCTTGGGGTGTTGGCTAACAAATGAAGGTAAGGGAAAACAAACGTTCTTAAAGCAATAGCAAATAAAATAATGAACTTGAACTTAGAATTCACTTAGATTGCAGAAATCAACTTTTAGACGTAAGGGAAAGATTTAAACAACTCTTAGGGTCAAATTCAACTTTTTTTTTTTTTTTTTTTTACCCGTGCCTATGGCACACTACGTACATGAGAAACACTTCCCCCACACTTATTTTCTGCCATACATA